CGGAATGCTCCGTCGTGGCTACATCATCTACTCGTCTTGGAAGCTCAGTAAGGATGGGGGTGGGTATATAGGTTCTTTACTTCTCCTTTCTATCTTATTATCCTTTGACGGTGTCTACTGACATCTCAATTTACTGTTTTATTTTCTCATTTTTTGTACCCCTTGTACTTTTGATCAAACTCAGTGTTAAAAAAAAAAATAGAAAATGTGTATTATGCTAAATTACAACATAAGTCTTGTGTGTACACTGTAATTTCCCTCATTCATATACTTATAAATATTTAGTTTAAAATAATCCAATAATTTAAAGTTATTATTTATAAACTAAAATATTCAAAAACCGAATTACAAAATACTTTTTATCCGAAATATTTAAAATTATCTTAATTATTCAAATTTTTTCTGAAAACTAAAAAAAGAAATCTGATATTTAATTAAAAAAATTCAATCTCTAATTTTTAACCCGAATTAACAAAACCAAAATTATCTCAGATATTAGGCCGGTTCCCAACTTTACCAAAACCAAACGGAAAATACCTTCTCACTAAACCAAAACTAAACCAAATTTTCTAAATACCGGATCCTAAACCTATAGAACCAAACCGAAAACCGAATGCGCAGGGCTATACTAAATGGTGGCCTAATCAAATCCGAAAATACCGTGATCAGGAGGAACAACAAAGCTCAGCTCCGACATTGATGCAGATTCACGTAGCATCGGAAGCTGTTAAAAAAAAAAAAAATCGACGCAATCAAATTCCAGATAAAAATGCACAAATAAAAAAAATGAATCAATGCTCAGTTGCTCACAGCATTGGAAGGATCCCAAGAGCCGACGAGAGGTTCAGAGCCGTAGACATGAGGAGTGAGCTCGCCTTCAACCTTAGAGTTCTCCATTTTGAGTGACACGTAGAGCTGACCTCCTCCGCCATTGGAACCATCCTCCTCGTCTTCACTGTTCTTCGATGCACCTGACCCCATTGGAGCAACCGTTCGCTAACCGTTTTCTGATTTGAATTTAATGAAAGAAATAATGTTTTAATAGAATAATAATCAAACGGATAAGAGATTTGAGGGAAAGAGATGAATCGAAGCTTTTTTAATTCTTTTTTTTTTTCCGGAAAATAAAAAATTGAGTTGTTGATTCTCAGTGGTACAATCGGGATAACCGGATAAGAGGCAAATACGTGGTGCTTGGTTACTTGGTTTGGATAGTTTCCGGTCGGGTCGGGTCGGGTTATATTTTGTTCCTTACTGGACTAGGCCTTTGTAATTATACTACCAAATAGAATGTAGATTTGTTTGTGTGGATGTGTAGAAAGATTGAGATGAACTATACTTAGAGAGCATCATTGTGTTTCGAAAACTCTGTGAATCTGTGAAAAAAATGTAAATATTAATATCTCAAAAGTAAATGAGAGTTTTTTAAACAATTTTTTTAAGTAATGTGATAATGTAAAATGTGTATTCCTTTGTTTTATGCAAAATCTACTAGGCCTTAAATGTCTTGAAAAATATCCTGTGAAGTGGTACCTAACATAAATGGTCTGTGGACTTTTTGTTTCATTAGTGACTCTGCCACTGCTTACAATATTGTTAACACGATTCTATAAGTGGAAGAATCAAATAACGAGTTATGCATTGTCTTTTAAACCAGCTGATATCATCCATCACCTGGTTTTTTGGAAATCAACGATCCTCTATAAAGGCGGTGAGTAGTTAGTGAAAGAAAAAAGATCCATCCATACATTATAGTCTATCGTGACTCACAAGATAATTAAAGAACAAACCCTAAGACTAACAGAGGAGTTGGTCTTTTTAATTTTGGCTAATATATATTCTTCTTGCTGAATCACTATCTCAATACGAAAATCTCTTATAACTTGAAATGGTTGACACTTTACAAACTGCTTATAAGCATACCAAACAACTATTTGACCGTAGATAAATAAATAGATAGAATCGCTTATCAACAGTTTACCTTATAAATTCATACAGTTTTTAAAGGCCAACAAAAATTTTAAATTCTTCTAACCAATAATAAACCAGCTAAAACCGATAAACCCAACCAACCAACCGCAAGTTCCAAGCGGCCGCTTGAACTATGTGATCCACCAGCAGCAGCGGCAGCAGTATGAATCGGAACTATACGTCCCACGCCGCTTGAACGGCTTAGACCGCCTCCAGTGCTTCTACGGCCTCCGCCACCAGAACGTCCTCCTTTTTTGATAACGACAGCTAATTCCCGAGCCTTTCCTTCAAAGCTAGCAACATCTGGCTTTGAGGAGGCATTGATGAGAGGAAGAGTATGGTGGTTCGTATCAACTGAAGAAGGCAGCGAGCTAACAGAAGGAAAAGTGTGATGGAGATGAAAGATGAAGAGAATGTATAAAACTAACGATGTTCCTTTCAAACCCATTTTCCTTTTTGTTTTTGTTTTGTTTCTGTGTCTTCTGATCAGTATTCTCGTTTGCTACGTATTTATACAAATTTCGGTTTCATGTTCAATCCTTCACTTGCAGAAGCAATAAATAGCTGGTTGAGAAATAAGTTAAGACGCGGCACAACAAGTTGTTAGTTGCCTTTTTCGACCTAGTCTCCTCAAGAAGCTGCTCAAAATACATCTTATAGATATTTTAATATTTATACTTATCTATATTTCTGAACCGTTTTATTAAAACAATTACATATAAAGAAAACCTTAGTGATGTCTCAAAAAAAAAGTAAGGATAAAAGAGTTTTGAAATGGCACTTAGCCTATACAAATTTATTTTTAGTGTTTTGGAAATTTTAATTTGTGGATATGTTGGTTTGTTGGCTGAAAATATTAGTTAGATAGCCAAAAAAAATCAATCAAAATTTTGCCGCGTGAATGTCTGACCCTACCTTTTGGGTGTAGAGAGTAGAGACCATAGAGAGTTAAAGACAAGTGGCGTTCATTCCTTGCAGTACTATTAAGAAATCATATTGATGACACATTAAAATTCAACTTCTGAATTTGAATTATTTATCAGAGTCATATTTTTATAAGAAATATTTCTCTCTGAAATATGAATCAGAGTCAGATTTGAATCATCTTATCCATATGGTAACATATATATATATATATACACCTAGTTTTCGTAGTAGATGTGTGTTTAAGTTTGTAAGTAAACAAACCAATTAGGTGCGGTTATGGCTTGCTTCCCAAGTAATCATTGTCATATGCTCAAAATGATCCACCACGTATGAGTAAATGCACTTAGTGTGGCTTGTTAATTTACCATTCTCTGCATCTGAAGCAAAGGTAACGTTGAAAATGGCATCGTACCATGGAGTAATTTCTCCTGCTTTTGTGCTTTATGCTACTAGGCACTCTCTGATTTTATCTAAATTAATTTGTCAGCGGATTTTTTGTTTGACTAGTGACACTACCACTGCTTACTTACAATTTTGCTGATGATTGTTAACAAGATTCTAGAAGTTGACAAATCAACAAACGAGTTATGCATGTCTTATTAGGCTTTTAGATCTTTTGAATAGTGTAAGTAAACGTGTCTGATTCTTTGGAAATCTTTATTGGATGGTGGTCAACAACATGTAGTAAGATTTCATTATCGTCATCATCTATCATGAGATGGTTTCTTCTCAACACTATACTTTATTACCTACTAGTTAATTCTTGAGAATGTAACTTCTATCATCTACTGGTACTAAGCAGGCCCGTCTCAATGTTTTATTAGGCCCGGTGCAGATCAATGTAAAACAATTTTAAAAATGGTCCTAAATTTGAAAAATGGATCCTAAATTACAATTAAAATTGTTAAAAAAAATTTGGACCCAGTGCCAATGTACCTTGTGCACACCTATAGAGACGGACCTGGTACTAAGGTGAATTACCTAAAAGAAGAGAGCAGTTGAACTCCAATAGCTTCTATCATCAACTGATTTCGAAAATCAACGATCCTCTATAAAGGCGGTGAGTAGTGAAAAAGAAGATCCATCCATACATTATAGTCTATCGTGACTCGCAAGATAATTAAAGAATAAACCCTAAGAGCACCCGCAACAATAGTCCTTAGGAAAGATTCTTAGAAAAAAAAGAAAAAAACGGCATTTCAGATTATATTCTAACATTAATAGCAGAGGAATTGGTCTTTTATTTAATTTTGGCTAATATATATTTTGTTCTAGCTGAATAAACCAACTGAAAACGAAATCTCTTATAACTCGAAATGGTTGACATTTTACAAACTGCATAAGGCATACCAAACAACTAAATGACGATATACAAATAGAATCTCTTATCAACAGTTTACCTACTTATATATACCGTTACCCCAAATCAATCCCACAACCAAACATTTTACCTTAAAAATTCATATTATCTAAACGGCCAATACTTAAACAATTCTAAACCAATAGTAAACCGGCTAAAGCCGATAGGCCCAACCAACCGACCGAGAGTTTCAAGCTGCCGTTTGACCTATGTGATCCACCAGCACCAGCGGCAGCAGTATGACTCGGAACTACACGTCCCAGGCCGCTTGAACGACTTCGACCGCCTCCAGTGCTTCTACCTCCGCCGCCCCCTCGTCCTCCTCCTCCTCCTCTTTTGATAACGACAGCTAATTCCCGAGCCTTTCCTTCAAAGCTAACAACATCTGGCTTTGGGGCAATATTGGTGAGAGGAGGAGTGTTGTGTTTCGTATCAACTGAAGAAGGCAGCGAGCTAACCGAAAGAAAAGTGTGATGAAGATGAAAGATGAAGAGAATGTATATTACCAAAGATGTTCTTTTCAAACTCATTTTCGTTTTCCTTTTGCTTTGTTTTTCTGTCTTCTCTCTTTTTTTGGTCAAAACGTTATGAAAGATGAAGAGAATGTATATAACCAAAGATGTTCTTCTCTCTTCGAAAGATGAAGAGAATGTATATATATTCTTTTTTTTTTGTCAACGTTATGTATATTTATATAATTTTCGGTTTTTCTTCACTTGCGTAACGATAAAATACTTGGTTGAGAAATCAATTATGACGCGGCACAAATTATTAGTTGCCTCTTTCGACCACTTTTTCGTCAACTGTCTCTGTCGACAGTCTCGTTATGAAGCTGCTTCGAATAGATCTAATAGATATTTATACTTGTCCATTTATATTTTTATTTGAACGCGTTTTTTTTTTGTAAATTATTTGAACCGTGTTATTCAAACAATATATATTTTTCAAAGGACGAAACCATATATAAAAACAAGTGATGTGTTAAAAAAAAAAGTAAGAATAAAAGAGTTATGATATGGATCTTAGGCAACCTAATTTCGTTTTTGGCATTTTGTATGTTTGTGAGCCGAAAATTAGATAGCAAAGACAAAAAAGAGAAACAAAAGGTTTGGCCGACTGAACAGCTTGACCCTCTTGGGCGAGACAATATATACAAGTGGCGTTGATCTCTCGCTTGTACTATTACGGAAAACTAATTTTTGAAATATTTATCAGAGATATCATTTTATAAAACATATTTTCTCTTCAAAAAAGAGTGAAATTTTTTACTTCTTCTGTTTGTCTGAATATATATTATGGCAATTCTCTTAAATAGTCTTTTTTCAAATTTTTATCACAAAAATAGATCTCAAAAATTAAAATGACCAAAATAGCACTTTTTATTTTAAAAATTATAATTTTTTTTATTTTTTAAAATTTGAAACCCTATTTCCAAAATTCCACTCGTCATCTCTAAACAAAACAATTTAGAATTATTTAACTCAATGAGTAAAAATGTATATTTAATAAAACATTTAAATGTTTGTTTATTTTTATTATTAAGTGTTATATTTGTGATGTTATTTTAATCATTATTTCTATATTTTTTTTTATAAGAGTAACTAAAATAAAATAAAGGGCAATTTAGCTTAAAAACCAAGGAAGAATGCCTAATTAGGTAAATACCAAAGAGGTATAAAGGAGAGCTTACGTGGTGAATGAGGCGAGGGTGAAATGACAAATAGACCCTGCCCGGAACACATCTTCGCTACCCGAGTTGACCTTCTTCTCTCCGCTTCTGACAGGAAATCAGCAGAAAGATTTGGCAAGATAATAACAAGATTTGGTGTACATTAGCCTAAGGTGCATCGGTAAGATCGAAATTTTATCCCCCCACAACATATCTCTGACGCAAACGGCGCCACTGTTAACAAAATCTAGCAGAAGATTTCCAAAAAATATTTTTTATTTTAAGAATAATGAGAAACCCTCACCGCTAAGCCAGAGGCTGTATGTCTTTATAAATTAGAGTTAGACGGTTTGAGCTCTCTCCATAAATAAAGGTGAGTACTGCGAGAAGCTACATCGGAGACGGAAAAAGTTTGAGAAACAAATTGAAAAGGTAAAGAACATTCTTTTCTTGCTTTAAATGTAGAGAAAAGTGTAAAGTTATGTTAAATCGAAACTGTTAAGTTAGAAGTTTATTAATGTTCCGTAGCATTAACTACATGTTTCCAATCATTGGTTCTTCACCTTTTCACTTTGTTTCTCCCCCTGATAGCAACTTAACTATGTTGAACTGATAGCAACTTCACTTTGTTGAACAGGAATGGGTCGTGTTTTCAGAATCTGGCATGGAGAGTGGAAGAAGAACGTTCAAGAACAGTGGTACTTTGTCCCAAAGCATGATGATTTCGGGTTTACGATGTACATGGATTCCCCTGAGTCTTTTCCGGTGATTGATGCAACCGTCCGGGAATGGTACTTGCTCCCTCCCGACACTCCGGTTCTCTAAACGTACGGGATGCCTAACTGGATGCTGTTGCCAAGTGGACCTGCCACTCCGAGAAGGATAGCTACGACAGGGGATTTGGTAAGTTTGTTGAGTGAGATGCCACCACTAAGTGACATCACTCTACTCTGTACTTTCGGAGCCAAAAGGGTGGCCGAGTTCCATTTTCTCTGTCGCTCTGATTTCACCATAGGAGCGTCAACCTATGTAGTGGGGGAAGGTCAAGATGAGGCAACAAGAGCTAGATATGAAAGTAAGTACTTTTAACTATAT